GATTCTTGTGATATAAATATTGACTCCACCAAAAAAATTGAAGTTGTCTAGATCAGGGGTCTCCAAACTTTGAAGCCTTCGGACCGCATTTATAGATTACTCCCCAAATGAAGCGCGCGTGAAAAAGTTTTACAAAATCCTTCTTTTTTCGGAAATTTTGAACTTGCAATATTTCTAGGCCCATTTTAGGCTACTTCATCACGTTGCTCCTCATTCGAATTGAATATTTGGGAGATTAACTTAGATACACACGGTAGATAACGGAATAATTGTTTGAAAATATTCATCAAATGTTGGAGAGATAGAAATATATATTGAGAATTTCAGGCACCTATTCCCATGTATTGCCCAATTTTCATATGTGTCTGAGGATTTCACCCAAATATTTAATTCAAACAAACAGCAAAAAATGTTCAATATCGTAATGAAGGAACCTAAAATTATAGCAAGTTCAAATTTTCCAAAAAGTGAAATATAATAACAAATCATTTCCGCATCTCTGTTTGTTATTTCCTTGAGTAGAATGGCATATTTTTTTGAAAATAGTAGTTTCCTCAGTTTATGAGTGTGCAGGTCTCCCAGAATAGATTTTGTTCCAAAAATACACCTACAAGTTTCTTGATAGATTTATTGTCAGTAACATATCTTACACTGACATCTGTTTGCGATGTATTAGGGGCGAATAAAATAAGATTCGTTTTAGAAATGTTCAGTAGGTACCTACTATGCCATTAACGTCACATCAGTCTTCCATTTCATTGATGCAGTGAAATATATTTTTTGTCAGGTCGTGATAGTAATTGGTGTTGATGATCACTGACATATCAGCTGACAGTTTCAGTTGAAAATCATATTCCCCAATACAAAATAAGAAAAATATTTTCAACTCGCCAAAGAAAAATATAATTTTTCGTTTCACTTTGTGTACCTGCTCACGAGCTTCTTTCAATTTGGTTCCTTCTTGTTTTTCGCTTTCAAAATGTATGGTTGAATACATTGTAAAATTCTACAATGATTACACAATTATGAAATTCATGAGGCAGAATTCAGGAAGATGATCTGCAATTTGTTCATCAGCGGAAATGAATCAAAACATCTTTTCAACAATAAATACTTTCTGATGACTACTGATTACTCATTGTTTATCAGGTTCAAGTTATTCATATCGAGTATTGTTTGAATGTTATCGATAGTTCGAAAACAAAAAACATACGAATTATAAATGATAATGTGCGTACTCCCTACCTTTCGGAAAACTGTCAATTCAATGGCTTTCGAAACTGTATTTTTCCTATGCAATACACTGGGTGTTAAGACTTTCCAGTTTAACTTTTCTCAGGTGATTGAAGTTTATCTAACATGAAATCATATTATCATGTGAAAAAAGAAGCTGATCTAGAAATTTTACATTATTTTGAGTGTCGTTTTCAGAGATTTTTCGAAGAGTTGACAAAGGGGGCAGAGGCAGCTCCCAAGATGTCTTAATAGTTGATAAAAATAACTGGACATAAGTGGAACCAAATTGACTTGGGTGTCACACCAATAGATGGTTCCACTTATGTCTCTCTTGCGTTTTCGCAGTTATTTTCATTAAAAACTTTTCTTGGTTATTCACATTTTGTACCAGTTGAAAGGGGAAGGGAGCCAGGCTTCAACCTGCAGGAAATCAAGATGGATTACGTCACATTTTGTCTTCAATCGAGGACCGCCTGCCCGGTACTGACGATGCCCAATAGGCTGAAACAGCTGTCTACCGGTGGCTCTTAAATTGAAATCAATGTGGGAAGGATCAGAATAATACTTATCTATTCATGTTTTCATTTTCATGGAATTATTTTCCAGCAGCTTGATGTCATTAACCTTCTCCATTAGATCTGCAAATAAATGATAAATAACATTATTTCCAAAAAATGTGTTCAAAACTTCAGTCCATTCCAATAAACATTCAAAATATTTACCATTCACTTTCTGACAATAATGAAGTTACGTTACAAATTTATTCAGGTTATCTGGTGGACTTTTCTGAGCAAGTACGTTTCTGTTTACCGACAAGTGATGCAACATTGTATATACAGTGTGACATAAAGTTCGCGACATATATAAGTTTTTTTATTATCAGATATAATGAAAATTGGACTTCACAGTTAGTTTGGCTTGAAAAATGAGTGAAAAACAGCCACTTTCCTTTTTTCCGAACCTGTCAAATTTTATATTTTTTTCGAAAATTCTTAAATATCAGTTTTTTTCGGAAATTCAGAAAATAACCAAAGAAAAAAGTTGCTCTGTTTCCGATTTCATACCATTGCTTGCACTCCGACTTTTTTTCTTTTTCCCTATTTGAATCTTCGCTCTATCGATCCGAACAACAGAGCGAAAGATTCGAAAAATTAAAAAAAATTGGAAAACTGAGCATCTTTTTCCTTTGACATTTTCCGAGAATATTACAGAAAAACTGATTTTTTAGGATTTTCGAAAAAAATATCAAATTAAATTTGACAGCACATGACAATAAACCGTGAAATGAAATTACAATAAAATGAAAATAAGCAAAATTTCAAAAATTGAGCAAATGAAAATTAAATTAAAAATATTTCAAAGCAAGTTACTTTGGAATATTTTTCAATAATATTTTAATTTTATGTATTCTTTCAGAGTTAAAAAAAAATNATATATATTTATTTTTTTCAGAAACTTATGTATGATCTACACATCTTCGCCAGCATCTTTGTGAAGAGATTAAATTTCAACTCAATTGCTTTCTTCGGGAAGTCGGTACACCTTAAGGATGATACATTTTCATATAGGTGAAATTTTATTGCAATTCTCTTTCATATTACCACGTTGTATAGCGTCCCAGTGATAGATATCTGTTTCAATTTCATAACGAATGATTGAAGTACGAACTGAATAGAAAAAAGTGGTTTTCGTGTAATTAAAGTTCATATGTTTGAAAGTAACTCTTTATAATGAGTCTTTTCTTCTAGTATGTACCTAACAGTGCATGATCTAGAAACATTTGTAAAGAGTTAGGAATCACACGTTAAAAGGTAAGACCTCGTTAATTCTCAGCTCGCACAAGTTTCGACTTCTGAGGGTCGTCGTTCGTAGGGGTGCGACAGCTGGTTAACGGAAAAACAGATTTTAAACAGAGTTTTTTAATTCAATTGCTTTATTTCTTCATTCGGAAGTTTCCCAGAATCCAAATTATAATGAACGAAAACCGTTTGAAAGGTAATATGAGCAAATTTATTCAAAGTTATTGGGTTCTCGTATAGAGAGACTAAGTAGACTGAATTCAAATCTCCACAAAATTTAAAAAGTTCCTGGTGAAGAAAGTGCTGACTATGGTCTAGAATTTGAAAACTTAATACCATAGGCGTACATCGGTTGAGAAGTGAAATATTTATTATTTATTTCAAATATTCAATGTTGAATGAATAGTTGTATGTATACCGAGAGTACCAAAAATATGGAACACTCGCATCAATAATTATTAGTTTTTTTTTTAATTGAAGACCCAAAATTGTTTATAATTGTGAATTTAGATTGAAGTTTTCATGGAGGATGATGTCATGATTCTGTCCGATCTAATAGTACTTCAATCAGGTACTTTATCACGTGAATAATACTAATAAAGTCCTTTCTTCTCAATCAGTAGGTATTGTTATTAGTAAATTATACTTAGTGTGTAAATAAAATTAGTACCTATGTATGAGCATAGGCGCTTCATCTGTTGAAGAAAAGATTATTTATCTCAATAAATATATTGCTCTCGTTCACCAAAACACTTCTTTACCGTTAATACTCTGGTGAAAAACCATCTTTATAAAAAAAATGTGCCTGATTATGAAAACTAGTTACAAACTTCAAATTATAAGAACACTACATTTATTTCAGTTAAGAAATAAATAGCGACCCATGACAAAATATTTGATGGGAGCTTTGAAAGAAATTTTGTAAAATTTCAAAGGAGTAAAGTTTAGCTGTGAAAAATAAACCAGCCTTCCTCTAATAACTCAATGAATGGGTTGAAGTGATTCATTAAATGAAAAAATGAAAATCGCTCTTATTCATTAATGATGAAATAAAATCATTTGATGGAGGACAGACACATATCGGGGTGAGAATAGAAAGATTTATTATATGGATGAAACTTGATTTAATGAAGGATATAGCACTGGAAAGATGGTTTGGGATACAAAAATAGGGTGAACCTGGTAAAATATTGTGAACTGGCCTATACCAGCTGTGGCAAATCGTAACGAAATCACCAAATTTTGTTTGAGCACTATATTAGTGTTTTGCATTCATAATGAGCATTTATTACTTTTTATTATTAGGGAACAGAGTATAATATTAATATAATCTCACATTAACAAGTTTCAGGTGACTGACATTTTTGTTATCACAATATACCTACTAACTGTTCTCACCACATTCCTAAGAGGCAAGCAAATTGTGAATGTTGCGTCAAACAAAATTAAATTAAATTCATTTTTCTGGGGGGATAGAACTTGTGAATTTGGAATTTGATTTTTAAATCTGGATGATTCTCTAACATACGACATGTGAGAATCATGCGAAAATACGTATATCTTTATGTACATAAATAATTAGCAAATCCTACTGAATTAAGGTAATAGGTCACAGGTATTTTATAGACTGTTGCTTCTTCGTGGCAAACTGACACACATTTTGAGAAAGTAGGATAGCTGCAATCACAAAAAATACATAGCTAGAAGGGATTTACATTCTATGGGTGGGCACCTACTTGAGAGAACGAGAGGTCGAGAGAGGTGCTATTTGAATTCCAATAACAATCGATGTTTTGCATACACCTTGTAGAAATAACTCGATTTATATTAGAACTTTTTCCATTGCATAAGCACTGCCGCAGTTCGGGACGTACTGAACACCTTGGATATGTTATATTATATCTTGTCCCATAAATTTTTATTTATAACCAATTCGTACCTAACCTAACTAAATAAGTCACTGACCTTTTCTTTAGCCCTGCCTGCATGTTTCTGCACTGATTTGGCTAGTAAACTTCCCCTACTTTCCGCCATAGTTTATATCACTTTCCCAGTTTGTCACAACAACCACTCACAATTTTTTAAAAAACCCCGTGATGTAAGTAGAGACTTGACCACTCCGCAAAATACTCTCTCCCTCTACCAGAGACGACTAGATATTTGGTTACTTTTAGATTTTGTCAGAGCTCCTCCTTGACCACTTTTACGGGTACACACTGTGGTCGAACTCAAAACTCATAAAAATGTAGGTAAAACAGGTGTTCTTTGTACTACATCCACTCGTCCGTCAGTCAGTGAAAGCAATAAGCCAATAGGTGGAAGTAGAATTCTGTTGAAGAAGTAACATTTTCCGTAAGTAGATGCCGCTAAATATATATACCTAAACGATGCCTGCAATATAGACAACTTACAATTCGTACATTTTTACAAATCTTGAAGTCAGCAAACAGCTATAACCATTGATAGAAGTTTATATACCTACATTGACAGAACATCATTTTTTCCGAAAGTTCCTGGACTTCCAATTGTTTTCGCACTTTATACTTTTTTATTGTTCTTTGTTATATGTCCATGTGAAATATAACCTCAGAGTAATAATAAGACATAGAGTTGCCATGTCTATACATCTGTGCCTATACCAATACAATACGTGTATTTGAAACTGAAACAGGTATTGGACTATCCTTTTCTATACAACTTATTGGCGAGGGGGTGACGGGTAAAGGAGAGTTTGTTTACATTTGAAGTAAGTTGGACCGTGAAACAGTGGCGGTTGGTTTAGTTGATAATCGGAAGGATATTATATATTTATAAAATAAATCGTTTCAGGTGAAAATGTATTCTGTTCTGTTCAAATAGTTCCTACAGGAAATCTGATTTATTATTATTGATTATGGAAATG